GCTAGAGCTAATTTACAGGTTGCAATAAACTTAATATCATTATTTCCTTTACAAGCAGCAGTTATATAAGGGTTATGATTATTGATAAAAGCATTAGCATGTTGGACAGCAATAATGCCTTGTTCAGGAAAGATCAAACCGGGTGGATCAACTAACTCTCTCAGAAAGTCAAACCTGCAGTGCTTTTATAAACCATGATTATATTTTTTACATGATCAACCACAACAATGAAAAAGTGTACGTTTGATAATAGCAAGTAAATTTTGTCAAAATTTTTCATCAAAATCAGGAGATTTGGGATCAGGTATAGGCATAAAAGATGGATGCATTCGTTTTTCAAGAATTGTTTTTGGTGCAGCATACTCAGCTTTAAGCATTTCATTTGTTAAAATTTTACCTTCTGGGAGCAGATAACTAATATCTTCACGAATAATGTCACTAATATAAGATAGTAAACGTTGACGAAATTCAACATCTACTTTAATTTTATCACGCATAATGAGCGGGTTAAGTGCACCCTTTAACCAAACAAGCATATGACAATGAGGGGTGCCACGATCTTGATATTCAACAACACCATAATGATTTTTTATAACACCGAATATACTACCATTTTCCTTATTATAACCAAATAAAGTAGTTATAATTAATTGGATAATTTTATCAAAATATTTTGCAACAGCGGAAGGATCAAGATGAGCAAGACGAGATCTTTCAGTAGCTGTTAGAAAATTTTCCGGAGTAAGGTATTCAAGATCTATTTCATTTCCAGCATACATCATAACAATAGCGCTATGGAGGTCAGCAGGATTAATTGTTATAAATAGAGTAGGTGTACCATCACGCACAATAACAGCACGTATTTCATTGCGCATACGAATACGTAAGTGATGAGATGCTATTAGTTTTGATCCAGCGGCATTTACATTTCTGAGAAGCTCATTAATTGCAGGGCTTGATATATTTTGTTTATTTAGTTCTTGCTCAATAGCCAGTTTTATGTCTTGTGGTTTTAGAGTAGTAATTAATTTTGCTGATCGTTCAAAATTTTTATTTCTAGTTAAATTATAAGATTCTGTTGATACTTCTCGACATTGTAAAACATCAAACAGTACAAAAGGAAATGATCTATGCTGCCTAAACTTTGGATCACGATGACGCATTAAATGGTTAGTATATTTTTTAATGATACACGTGCTAATCTGCCTTCATGACCTCCAACTCCATATGATAAAGAACCGGAAATCCTGCAGAAAAAAGTGATGGATCTTCATATTCATTTAAAGGTTTGTTACCATAGGGAACGCAGATTATATGCGATTGCATAGAGATATTTTCTGGTTTATTACAATTTTTTGAGGATATTTGTTCATTGGGCTGTGGATCAGATTTGTTCACTAATTTTTGAAGAGAGAGTAGGGTAAGCTCTCTTTTAGTGACTAGCACATCATCAACATGCAATATTCCAGATGGTCTAAGCTCACTCGCACTATTGATTGAATTATTATCAATAAAGTTTTTTATATATTGAGTATCGTGATTAGGTAAATCATTATCATCACTTTCGCTATCTGAATAGCAGTCATTTGATAAATCATTTGGAGTATGACCTGTATAATGTTCTGTTTTACAAGGATCAATATCTACAACTGTGGTAGTTATAAGTAGGGGTTCAGGAATATCTCCTTCGGGTAAAATATTTAAAGCATTATCATCAATTACGAAGTTATCCTTAAATAATTTATTATGTTCAAAAAGCCATTGAAGCGCGATTGTTATTTTGCTTTTTCAACTTGGAATATTTTTTTTAGTTGATAATTAACAGGGGAACCTTTTCCAACAAAGACTACCTTTAAATATTCAGCAAGACGATACATAGGTAAAGGTAATATATTCGTCAATGATCCAGGATTTTGTGGTAATGTGATAACATAAGCTTTAAGTTTTTGATGGGTATGCTTTTTTTTAGTTAACTGAATGAGATTCATACATTGATATCTAGGTGAAATAAGAATTTGTTCTGTGATAGTTAATTCCTGAAGACACGGTGGTGTAGGACTAATCCACATGTTATTGGCTAAGGATAATGGTGGTGTCATACGTTTTTTTAAGTAATCATAGCAAGTATTACAAATTCGTAATTTAAATGGGTCGTTAGGATCTATAGGGTTATTATTAATTTGACATTCAGATGAATAAATAAATCCAGATCGATCTAGAAGAGCATTTATTCCACTATTATTTATATGAGGGTGTTCATAGTTAAAATCAATTTCAAATGATAGATTTAGAATATCAATTGGTGCTTTAAGTAAAGAAAGATCAATGTTATAAACGGAAATTTTTTTATAGTTTTTAAAATTGTGAAGTCCTGAGCAAACAGCACAAGGTAATTTGTGTAACTCATTAAAACTAATTTTATCTCAAAATTCAGCTAACGCATTTTTCGATATTTCAGGATTTATTAGTTGAGGCCACGTTGTATATCATTCAAATATTATTTCAAATTCACGATTCATATCTAGAAGCACAAAGGAATACTTAAATTTTTATTTTGAAGATTATTCATATTTTTTTTTATTTTTCGACATTTGTTTCATAAGTCATTAGATATTCTAACATAGTTTGGGTCTTGTCGAAGTCTTGCCATATATTGTCGAGATTTATTATTTCCTGAATTCTTAAATTGAGGATCCTTATGTTGATCTGCTTTACGTTCACGTTCTTTTCTTTTTCTAGCTTCTCATCGTGTTTCTACAGGATTCATAGTGTTTTTTGATTATGATTTATTATGAGCTGGAAAAATGAAGGTTTTATAAGCTAATTAGAAATTTATTCAGAGCAGGTGTTAAAAAAAGTAGATTGTGTTTCAATTTTCAGTGAACTCTTTTTATAGTTTCATAGGAATAAATATAACTCTCTGTCTAAGAATGGTTCGATGTTTTAAGTAACATAATGAGTTAACTTACAAAGGAAGCTTATTCTATTAGTGAGAAGGCATTCTAATTTAATACATACTATATTATTTTGTAACATTGTTCTAGAATTAATCGATTGCTAATAAGGTAAAAAACATTTTAACACCATATTTAATTCTACAAGATTAATTATTATCGTTTCATTATTAATCTAGACTATTTTCAACTAATATCGATTTAATTTATAATGCATTATTTTATAACATTATTCTAGAATTAATTAATTGCTCAATAAAGTAAAAAAGATTTTTAACGACTAATATCGATTTAGAGTAGTTAGATTCGGTACCCAATAGAAATTTTGTATACTGCTATTATTTACTTATTGAGATATTATAAAAAATTTTGATGTAGCACATATAGATTTATTTAAAATAGATGATAAAATATGTTCGTATAATAGTATTTAACTTTATATAGAAAATTAAAGCTTAATTAATATCCAATGTTAAAAATTCTGAACAAATATGCAGTGCAAAAAAGTTTTGTTAGCACAAAAATACAATATGCACAAGATATATTACACTCTATTGAATATAGAGTTATATGATTCGATTTGACAATCAATTGTTAAATTCTGCAATTTGTAAAAAAATTATTTGGCACATGCATTGTAGTTTTTGTGCAAAATACAACATTGTTAATATCATTTTGAAGTATTTCACATGATTTTTTATCATCGTAAAATAAATATAAGGCAGTAGTTACAGTAAAACCACGTTAGTTTAATTAAGACACTAACGTAATAATTAGGCCTAATAATTTCTAATAGAGCAGCATTTTACATATTAGGCAGGGGCAATTTACTTACAAGCTCAAAACTTGGATGGGTCTTTTAAAATGATATAGTTTTTAAGTACCATAGAGCACTGTCCAAAAGATTCCCCTTTTTGAATACCCCATGCAAAATACACTGTTGCAAAACACAAAATCTTTAATAATTAAATATGGGTTTTTTTTAAATTTCTAGAATGCTTATTGCAAATGCAAAATATGCATGTGCTTGAAATTTTTCTTTCTTACGACACAAACCCACTACAGTATAATATACCCAGGTCTCTTGTAAGTTTTTTGGTGGTTATTTTGTATCAGACCCCGGGTATCTTGTAAGTTTTTTGGTGAGTATTTTGTATTAGAACCAGGGTTTTTTGGGCAGTGCTCTACGGTATTTTTTAATCCACAAATAAACTATAATTAGAATAATAAATCGAAAATGAAAAAATATAAAGCAACTATAATTATAATAATAAATCGAAAACAAAAAAATATAAAGAAGTTGTATATTATATTTTAATATCATCTTATAAACTAACGAATGAATGAATAAACAAATCTTTATATTGTCATTCTGAATTCTGTGAGTCTGTCGTTACTCTCTTCCAATTATCATGTAACCTACGGTGGCTAAGTCAAAATAGGCGTGTTAGATTTGGCTAGGTGGTTTATCCATAGGTAAGTACTAATTAATCTTCTCTTCTAAGTTTTTACTTCAACTTGTTCTTCTATTAACCCTTGCCTTCTCTTATCTGCTCTTGTATATCTTAACCCGGGCTTACGATATGTCGAATTGGAGTTTGCGTTCTTCTCTTGCTTTGACGAATTGGTCATGTGACTTACGGCGAACGATCAAGATGCGCTTTTAGTGATTTACAAATAAGCGATAACGAAGGGTTTTAACGATAGTTTATTAGTTTTGATAAGGTAACACTTTTACTTTTATTGTGGGTTGGATATTTATAGTTATAAGAGAAGATATTATTATTTGGGACTTGTTCTCCTTTTCCCCAGACAGAAATGCCCTTTATCTATAATAAACGTTTTATTTACATTTGTAATTAATTTATTTCATAAATGCAATATCTTCCTTATATATTATATATTAATTAAATCTAATAAAAGGTCGATATTCCATTTATCACAGAAATAGCATAAGTAATAAAAGTAACAGAAGGGAAGTAATAGAAGTAACATTTCCATTACTTTTCACGTGACCTTAGATCAGGTAAGAATCGTCGCTTCGATTCAGCACCCATGATCCAAAAAATCAGGCTCTCAATATATATATTAAAAAATACATAAAAGTTATTTTTATACCACAGATCATTAAACACGCCAAGTATATATTTTTTATTTTTAATATTATTTTTTTCCTTTATCCTTCTTATTTATTCTTGCACTCCTTTTCCTCTTCTTAGGTTGATCATTTTCTGAATCTTCATTCTCATCGTATTTATGTTCAGAATCACATTCACAGTCGTCATCCTCTGCATTTAAGTCAATGTAATTATTCTTTTCAAACGATGAATTAGTTTCAATATTAGCAGTAGTTGAAGCAGATAACGTTGCGGAGGAACTAGAAGCGGGGATGTTATCATGCTTAATAGAAGAAGGTTTTGTAGATGATTTGTCAATGTTAGAATCAATATCATCTGCAATAATATCGATAATAGAGTGAGTAGTTGACGACGTAGAGGAAGAAATTTCGTGAACTATAAGATTTAAAGGAGGTAACTTCGAAAAATCGATGTCAGAGGCCTCGATCATTATTTTGCCAGAATCGGAGAATTTAAGGAGACCCGATACGAGGTAAGTATTTCCTACTTTAATATTTGATCCTGAAGTACCCAAATGTTTAAATCTTGTGGTCTGGGACAGATAAAGAATGATCATTTCCATTTTAATATTTGAGGACCCAGTGACAGCATTATATTCAACGGTTTCGACGCCAAAATGAATGAACTCTTTGGTTTGTTTCGGGTTACAATTAACAAGAACAAAAACTATACAGTGCGGAATGCATATCGGGACACCAGTAAAGTCGAATTCTCAGCTAGGATTATTATCGATAATGCTAGCATACGTGATGGTCATGCACTGCTCAGAATTTTTAACGACACATCTACCCGAAATAAATAGCAAATCACCGGAAGCGAACAATTGAGATGGAGAATCAGTAGGAAAAAAATATTTCCACCTAATAGTACGAGATGTTTGTTCAGTAAGTTTGTATTTGGCGTGATTGTATGAGCATATGCTATTAGTTCTCACGGCAGTGACGACAATGAGAAAGGCAATATGAGATGGCATATTTTTTACTTGAAAATTTTTTACAAGTTTATGGAATTGAGAAAAAAGGATCTCCCGAGTTCTATTTTTATAAAGAAAAATAAAGTAAAATAAACATAAATAAAATAACTTATTAATCGCAATGATTGTCTATAAAATTATACAATTCTTGGTACAGAACAATAGTACAATTTTATTCTTTATTAACAGATTCTGTGCAGTTATTGGTCATGCTGTTAGTTTAGACTAATAATGATATGAAACTTCGTTCGCATTAGAATAAAACAATTAATTCATACTATTGATTCATGCTAATAACAATATTAATTTAAACAATTTAAAATTAATTGAACAGATTATATTTTCACAAAATGTGTGAATAGCAAGATATTGATTAACTGATCCTTTATTGATATGCGTCTTTGTTTTAGTAAACATCCTAACTCAATTTATTCATGAACTTAGAGCAAATTAAATTTTGGTATTATAATTTAAACAATACAAACGGATGTGTTTGTCTAGATTAAAAATTACTTGAGCATCTGCTTACAAACAAAAAACAACACAAATTTAAAGCTTAGTGCATAATAAACAATGAATGCATAAATATAACAAATACTCGAAATAAACAAGTCTTGTCATTCATCTATTTTATTATGATTACTAAAAATAGTGACCCGCAAATAGTGGGACCACTTGAATTTTCAATAATTAATAATCAAAGTAACTATTTGGTCAAGTTATTAACAGAAAATCAAATACCTACTAACGTGAGCGCATCATATCAATCAAACTCCACCTAAAAGAATTATGTAATTTATACATTGAAATTATTAATGATTGATATTTTATTAACCAATTAATAATTTGTTTATTATTAATTAAAAACACGAAGATCTCATAACAACTGCAAATAAACAAGATATTGTTCGCTGCATATATTAATAATAAAAGGATAGTTCATTATGCCACGAGGTGGCAGTACCCACTAAACAGCTAATTTGTTTTTACGACTTTCCTATTTCATTAATATCATAGTATGCTAATATACTAACTATTATTTTTCAAATAAGAACAATTAAACACTTAATTCACATCAGGCATAAAAGGAAGTTCATTGTAAGGTACTTTTTTATAGTTACAGCTCTAAGTTATTGTTTATTGCAACATCATTTATATATTTAAATTGGATAAATGTATATTATATATCTTTAGTTTATATTCAATTTTATCAGATTAAAATTATTTTTATTAATCGGTCTATCACGAACTGGTTCCAAATCAGGTCTAGATTAAACTTTTAAGAATAGTTCAAACTGGTCTAAAACCAGATTCAAAGCAAATCACGTACAATGCTTTTCAAACGGATGTATAAACAAAATCAATATTACCACCTTATTAATTTACTAATAAGGTGATTGATTATTAAAATCATTTGTTACTCCAATTGGTAAGTTTTAAATTGTGATTAATAAGTGCTTTTCAATCGCTTTTATGCCAAATAAAAGTTCAAAAATTGTACTAAACTACTAAGTTTAGACTGGTTTCTAACAGAAAAATAAACTTGTCCCTTAACTAGTTCAGGACCATATTTATGAACTGGGTCTAATATTGTTTGCAAATTGACAATGAAAAAAATATTTCATATTATGTACATAAAATCATCACACTAATCGGAATTAAATTTTCACGTTTAGCCACATGTTATAAAAAATAACCAGGATCAGAAACAAGATTATAGTCATCATGTTAATCGGCTGCGATTAACCAATTTCTATTTATGTATTAGCTGATTACATGATCAAGTAACTTAATATGGAACCTTCACACAAGGCATTATTAATACATATAGTCGATTAGATCAATCGTATATTAAGCTTCACAAACATGTAAGGAATACCAATCAATATTCATGTGGTAAAACTAATAATATTTACAAGATGCATCATGCAGACAAACGAGAAAAAAATGTACTTGTCATTCGGGTATAGAGGTATCACACATGCTCAGTGAAGATGTAATGTGTAAAGCTTTTTTATGCATTTATATGCTTGCCTGGCCATATGAATTTGACCAATTAAATTTCAATTTTTGCAGACTAACGTCATTTCAATTGCCATATAACCATACACTATGTGAAATCTTCAATATCACTCCGTTTCTGGTAATAACCATACACTATGTGAAATCTTCAATATCGCTCTATTCCTGGTACTACGTGAAATCTTCAATATCACTCCATTCCTGGTATGCTATTTCAATTGCCATATAACTATACACTACATGAAATCTTCAATATCACTCTGTTCCTGGTATTCCTAATCCAGACCAACTATCTCCAACCAAACCAACTTATCTCAAGCATGATACTTCTAAAGATCTTGACTGGTTTGCTACCTATCCTATCACTGGCGATATGAAGAATAACACTTGTTTAAACATACTAGGTCACAAATTCTTTAACTTTGTCAAACCAAATCTCATCGAATTTGCACCTAGCAAAATTGTCAAATCTACCTCTAACAACCCAAATAGTCAAGGGAAAAACAAAGAATCTAGACACACCTTTAACTACCTAATGGCATCACTTGCTGGCAAATACCCCCAATTTCTTCTTGATCTAATCTTAAATGCAAATCCTCTACTTGACAAAAATGCTATTATCCTCTTTGGTATTACCCTTGATACTTTCAAATCTCTTTTTCTTAAATTCACTACTGTACTTTTCACCCAACTCAATTACAAAAAGATTTTCTCATCGCTTAGCTCCATCCCTCCATACAGTATTCATAATCGCAACCAAGTTGCCCTTAACCTTGCTTGTATCCATCTTTTCCTTCAAAATAAGTATCAAGCAATCCATGCACAAAAATTCATTGAAGAGCTTGATATCAAACTAATCCGTTTTAAAATTCGCTACTCGTTTAGTGAAGATACACCAAACAAATCCTTATTTCAAATTCACCATAATACCCAATTCAATATTAATGTTGCTCTCAATATTCCTAAACAACAATTTACTAATGACTTTAAAATTCTATCTCTAAAGCTCTTTACTAAAGATCTTGATGAATGGTTCTCTTCCTTTATTCTAATCTACTCTCAACAATTCACTCAACAATCCAAAGAAACTGAAAAAAAAATTTATAATCATATTCGATATAAAGTTGCTACAACACTTGCTACAGAATATAAAAAACTTCTTCCTCCTACTTATGAAATCTCTACTATTACTACACTTAGTAAACACAAAAATGCTATAACTAAAGCAACTCTATATCACTTTCACACATGCAAAGCCAACAAAGAAAACCCATGTGCTATCCTTACTACTAATACTGAGCACTCAGAATTTTCCAACCAGCATACTTACCAAAATATCTACCAACACTTCTATAAACACTCACTCTCTTTATTCCCTGCTCCTGTTACATCTTCTTCTTCACCTAATCAATCCTCCCCATAATTTATCCTACACTCAACTTTACAATTTTTGACAAAGATGAAACACACTCAGCTACATTTTCTAAACCTTTTCCTACTCAAACCTTCTTAGACCTGGCCAATAAGGCAGAGGAGTTATATACTAAACAAAATAATGCCGAATCTAACATCAATCGCAATATCTTTTACTTTTACTCCTATTTTAATAAATACCTTAAAGCTGCTGCTAAAAATGATAATATCTACAATCTTTCTTATGATGAATCAATCTGTAAACTTATCAAGCTAACTACAGACTTTACATATATTAGCAAAATCATTTCCTACTTCGAAATACTCAAAAACCCCAAACAAACCTTTTCTCAGATTCACTCTAAATATAATAAACCTTATCTGTCATAGGCAGAACAGCTTATTATTAATCACTACAAAATCACTACACCAACTCTATCCAATAACCTATTTCATAACTTATCATCTACACTAGATAAACCAAAAGAATCTGAATCTTAACAATCTTTTCCCTAAAGTCTTCTGCAAAAAATATAAAAGCAGTTGCCACCTTTAAAATATTGATGTCCTCCATATTTTGTGGACCATTTTTAGAGCAGAATGATGTAAGTAGGCAGGCAGGAAAGCCTATTTATGTGAAAGAATCAAGTAATGATGGTTAGACTCAACTCACAGAGCAGACTCTAGATTCTTGCACAGCCGTGAGAGCTGGGCATACAGTGAGCAATTTTGCAGAAGATCTTACTCTCTTCTCAGATACCAAGTCATCCCACCCTTCTAAGAAGACATGCTTTAACAAATTTCTTTACAACTACAATTTACCACTTCTTCAACTTCTGCAAACTCTCAAATCATTTCTTCATCACTTGTTTAAATATTCTTTCTTTCAACCCTACAAAATATTAGTTAAAATTATTACACTTGAAATATATATATATCTTGATATTAACGAACTACTATTCCTAGTCACTTAATTCTCTCTCTAAACCAATATTCCTCTTCTCCTATTTTGTCATCTATAATAGATTATTAATTTATTTATTCAAGTAGTTTATCAAATTATAATAT